GCATGATGCTGCCACCACCATGTTTCACTGTTGGGATTGTATTGGGCAGGTGATGAGCAGTGCCTGGTTTTCTCCACACATACCGCTTAGAGTGAATGCCAAAAAGTTCAATTTTCGTCTCATCAGACCAGAGAATCCTATTTCTCATAGTCTGGGAGTCCTTCATGTGTTTTTTGACAAACTCTATGCAGACTTTCGTATGTCTTGCACTGAGGAGAGGCTTCCGTTGGGCCACTCTGCCATAAAGCCCCGACTGGTGGAGGGCTGCAGTGATAGTTGACTTTGTGGAACTTTCTCCCATCACTGCATCTCTGGAGCTCAGCCACAGTGATCTTTGGGTTCTTCTTTACCTCTTTCACCAAGGCTCTTCTTCACGATTGCTCAGTTTGGCAGGACGGCCAGGTCTAGGAAGAGTTCTGGTCGTCCCAAACTTCCATTTAAGTATTATGGAGGCCACTGTGCTCTTAGGAACCTTGAGTGCTGCAGAAATTCTTTTGTAACCTTGGCCAGATCTGTGCCTTGCCACAATTCTGTCTCTGAGCTCCTTGGGCAGTTCCTTCGACCTCATGATTCTCATTTGCTCTGACATGCACTGTGAGCTGTAAGGTCTTATATAGACAGGTGTGCGCCTTTCCTAATCAAGTCCAATCAGTTTAATTAAACACAGCTGGACTCCAATGAAGGAGTAGAACCATCTCAAGGAGGATCAGAAGAAATGGACAGCATGTGAGTTAAATATGAGTGTCACAGCAAAGGGTCTGAATACTTATGACTGTGATATTTCAGTTTTTCTTTTTTAATAAATTTGCAAAAATTTCTACATTTCTGTTTTTTTCTGTCAAGATGGGGTGCTGAGTGTACATTAATGAGAAATAAAATGAACTTTTTTGATTTTAGCAAATGGCTGCAATGAAACAAAGAGTGACAAATTTAAAGGGGTCTGAATACTTTCCGTACCCACTGTACATATGTATATAGACATACTTCAAGTAATTACTCATGGCTTACAAGCTGTGTACTTTGTACTGTGTACTCCGGTTGCCAAGCAACGACATTTCGTTGCCAGACTCACTGTTTTTTTTTTTTTGTGTTTCTGTGCAATAACAATAATGAAAGTCTAAGTCCAGAAAGAAAAAAATAAAGGTGCTACCAGTGTGTTGCCAAATGCAGCTGTCACTCCTCTCATTCAGCGTGTCTCTCTCCTTTCAGTGCAGGCGAGTAAAACAACTGACATTGAGAGGGGTATGTTTAGGCTTTTGATTTCTTTACTGAAGAGGAAAGGGGGGAGTCTAACACTGGTATCAAATAGCCCGCATCGTCCTTGTACCGGGGGTTATCTTGTAAATACTTTGCTCCAAGTCTATAAAAGCAAGGGTCCTTTATGACAGCCAAGGCCACTCATTCACGTTAAAATAAAAAAGCACTCAGTGCAGCCTCTGTGTCTGTGTCTGGGTGGGGAGGAGGCAGAGGGGAAGGAGCGATGAAGGGAAGGAAGGAAGGAGAGAGGGAGGACATGAATAATACTGCCTCATTCTTTAGAGAGAAGTTGTCACAATTTAATCTAAATACTATTTTACTTGTAATGCAAAATAGCCCCGGTTGATGATATTTAAAACAAGTCAGTAAGATTGTCTCAGCCTTTTTCTGTTTCTATTCTGTTTGATTATTTTTTTATTTAAAGTAAAATACAGTCCGTCTGTGGAGACGGCGATTCAGATTTCCTCATCTTTTGCATAATGAGTTCTGCCGTGTTTTTGTCCGACGACGACAACAACACAGTAATGAGCAAAGTAATTAAGAGCAGTATGGGGGGGATGAGGTGTGTGGGGGGGTTGGGTGTGGGGGGGCATGCAAAGCAGCCCCACTTAACTGAA